AAAAAAAAAATATATATATATATATATATATATATATATATATATATATATATATATATATATATATATATATATATATATATATATATATATATACACACACACTATTTTTTTATTGTAAATACATTTTAATAAAACTAATCATTCAAAATGAAAAGACTGCATTAAGATAAAACAAAAGATTGAGTAATATAAAAAAACACCAAAATAAACAATAATCACATATAAAAGTAGAAAGGGTGTATCAGGACTTGGGCCCCATGGCTGAGGTTGCCTAGGGTCCCCAATTCGCTAAATCCGCCCCTGCATATCTATAATAACTTTAAAGAATGACAGACTGACTTTTTTCCGCGTTTGTCATTATGTGAAGCTTTACTCACCTTGCCCTGTGTTCTCCAAGAGCTCCTCTGCTACTGCATTACACTTGATACCCCTTAAAATGTCCACTGTTACAGAAACCGCGTCAGATGTGAAAGTGTTGACCAATAAATCAACCAGATCTATCTCGTCTTTCAGCTTTTCGATTGTAGATTTTCGGACGCGCGGTTCCTGCTTCCGATCGCCCAGTCTGCTTTGAAACCTTCTTAGATTATCCGCCCCAATATTACTTAAAGCGTCCTGAAGATGGTCCTTGATAGATTTGGCCATGTTTAGCTCAGGGCGCTGACTGAATGCCGAAGGTCAACACAATGTGTTTCTTTCCCTTTTTCTAACAGATTGCCCAATCAACAAGTAATGAACATGTATGTTCCTGCACAATCCTCTAGGTGACTTGTGCCCATTTTACTTCGACATGAGGAAATAAATATACTGCATAAAACGTATATATAAAGTCAGAATGATTCGCCCTTCTTTGAATTTGTTTTTCATTTTTAAAAATTTCCCAAATTATGTTTAACAGAGCAAGGACATATCTGATGATATTTTTTCTTCTAGAGAAAGTTATTTTTGTTTTTTTTTGGCTAGAATAAAACCAGTTTTTAATGGTTTTAAAACCATTAAATGGGCAATATTATTGCCCCCCTTAAGCAATATTTGTTTTTGATTGTATAATGTAGACAATGACTTGCCTATTTTTACCCTGACTTGCCTAGTTAACCCAATTAACCTTAAGCCGTTACATGTTTAAGCTGAATACTAGTATCTTGAAAAATATCTTGTAAAATATTATGTACTGTCATCATGGCAAAGATGAAAGAAATCGGTTATTAGAAATGTGTTAAAAATCCTTGCTGTAAACAGAAATTGGGAAAGAATATACAGGAGAGCAAATAATTCTGACTTGTATAACTGTATGTGTAATATATATATATATATATATATATATATATATATATATATATATATTCATTCAATGGAAAAGCAATGTTTGGTAAGTAATCGAAGAGTTCAGGTGTATTTTCTCTGTTTACTATGTCTGTTCAGTTATTTCACTTAAACCTCTAACTGCCCCTGCACTAAGAAAAAAAAGTTGGGTTGCATTTCTAAACTCCTAATGACACTAGTTAACACACACAATTAATTTTTCCAACACATCCCATAATTTCTAAAACATCTCCTGAATGGTTAGGTCGGTTTATGGTATAAGAACCGGAATTAATACATATACTTTGAAAATTCTGAAAATAAGAAGTGTAAGACCAATTTATTTAAAATCAATCAAAATAAATCATTTTTGAATACTAAATCATCTTTTAAATAAGCCATAAAATATTTTAGATTCTCGTTTAACATGCTTTCTTGTTTTTTTTTTTTTGTTTTTTACAGTAAAACCATAATTAGGTGTAGTGGTGCAACAGGATTATGTTTGTTAGATTTTTTTCTACACCAACAGTGCTGTGTGTAAATCTTTATTTCAAGAGTTCGCCCTTAGCTGATGATTGATTATAGAGCTTGTTTTGCATGCTGTCCCGGGAGAGAGCCATGAGCTCATAAGATCCTCATAAGATCATAAGGGGCTCTCTCCCATTTGCCAGGTTGAGAGAGGAGTTTGAGCTCAGGTAGATCTCGAGAACTCCCCTGTTGTAGTAACTAATGAACAGATAGCGATTGCTTTTAAGAGGTAACTATTAGCTAGGAGCATGTCTATGATGCGGATTTGGATTAGTCAATTAACTTAAGTTGCATGTTTTTGATGGTGGGAGGAAACTGGAAAACTCGGGGAAAACCCACGTGAGCACAAGGAGGACGTGTGAACTCCGCACAGAAACATGGCTGGCTTGGTAAGGACTAGAATTAGTGACGTTCTTGCTGTGAGGCAACAGTGCAACCACTGGGCCACCATGCCATTCATCAAGGAAAGGAGGAGGAGTAGGGGTGGAAGGGGGGAATTTTCAACACGAAGATGGCTGTCATATGGAACTTAGGGTATTTATAGTGGTTTAGGAATCATCAGATTGGTGAAATGAATAATGCAGGGCCAGCTGCAAGCAATCATAAACACGTGATCCACTCGAAATTAGTTTATAAATAAACTTCACTTAAAACAGTCAAAACATGGTCAACTATTTGGTAGATCAGGCAGTTAAAGGGTTAAAATGCAATGAAAATATTCCTATTATTTGGCATAAGTGAAATTATTGAACCTATAGGAGCCTGATTAAAATTTCAGATGGCACTCTTCAACTGTGAAGAACATTTTAAACATCTATGAAAAACATCTATAAACATTATATTATAACCTTATATAAACATATATTTAAACATCTATAGCTGCCAATTCACTCTATAAAGAACATTTCTTAAAATGGAAAGTTGATCTAATTTTCCCATTGTGCCAGATACAAGTAAACTCGATGATATACTCGACCTTCATACCTCTTCAAAATGGGTTATTTCTAAAATCATTAATACAAAACAGTTCTCCTCAACACATGTACTGAGGGCTTTTTGGGAGGAGGAACTTAAGAAAATATGACACAACTTGCCTTTGCTGTACAACCAAACCAGCCACACTTTTACATACTTTCTGGTTTTGTTTAAAGCAATCTGATTTTAAGGGGAAAGTCTTTATTCATTTTTCTGCTGTTTTTTCCATTATCAATAGTTCCAAACCCACTGTTTGGAATCCTGACAGAATATGCTGAATTAAATGAATAACAGGCTGATAGTGTAGCCTTTGCAACTTTACTGGCTAAACGACTTATTCTTATGAATTGGAGGTCAGCAGCTCCCCCTTCTTATCAGCAATGGGTTTTTGATTTCTTACATGCTCTTCGAATAGAAAAGATTCAGTTCACAGTAAAGCAAAAGCCATAACAGTTCCAAAAAGTCTGGGGTCCTTTTCTACATTTTTTTAAAGGAGACACATATATCTTAACTTCTGTTTTTTCTTTCTTTTCTTTGCATCATTTATTTATTCTTTGGTTTGTTTTTTATTTTTCATATTTTTATGTTATCTTATGTTTGTGTATATATGTGGTATTTTACCTTTTATTTACATACTTATTTGTGTATAATTATGTTTTCCTGATAATTTCTTGTTTGGTGAATTGTATCAGTTTGTGTGTGTTTGTGTGTGTGTGTGTGTGTGTGTGTGTATATATATGTATATATATTTATATGTGTGTGTATATATATATATATATATATTTATATGTGTGTGTGTGTGTGTGTGTGTATATATATATATATGTGTGTGTGTGTGTGTGTGTGTATATATATATATATATATATATATATATATATATATAATATATAAACACACACACATCTATATGTATCAATATTGTGTTTATTTTATTGTCTGACCTAAGATGAACCAAATTAAAAAAATAAATAACGATGGAATGTTTATGTGAACATTAAAGTTTACACAAACCTAACAAAGAGCTTATTTTTTTTAAAGAGTAAACCCAATTTCTATCCACATTTGGTGCACAGCCATACGTTTACATGAGCCTTTTAAAAGACATATAGAGCAGGGGTTTCTAAACTCGGTCCTAGAGGCTGGCATCCTCTAGTTTAGCTCTAACTTCCTTTAACACAACTGCCTGCAAGTTTCTAGTATAGGGGAGACGGGGGATGATTGTAACACAATGTTTTTTTAGCATCTAAATCTACCTTTTTTTTGCTTCATAACTAAACCTTCTAGGCAAAGTACCCACATTTGTCTACTACAAATGTCAACAATTAAATTATTTTAAACTATATCACAGACTTTGTGAGATGATGACAAATGAAGTGGTCATTTGTTACTACCTACCCCACTACTGGGCTAAGCTGTAGCAGGTAGAAACACACAAAAACTAAATGTACGACTAATGATATGCCACAACAACAGTTTTATTGTAAATAAATGACTGCAACAATACAATATATGTGAATATTGTAAGTGTATGTGCTTATTGTGTGTGTGTGTGTGTGTGCATGCACGTGTGTTTGTGTGTGCTTGTCTATACGTGCACATTCATGTGTGTGTTTAAGTGCATGTAAACTTTCAAAACACGTTTTTCAACCTACCCCGTCACTGTCACCCATTGTTTAGCTAGCTGTGTAAGCATGGTGCTTTGAAATTAGCAGGAGGTTGATACACCATTCTTTACTAGAGAAAATACAGTTTGACCTGATATAACTCATACAACATCATCTACAACGGTAGAGGTACTAAACAAAATAATATCTTGCTATTTTTATATTTCTGTTGAAGATTTTCTGTTGAAGCTTTTGGAGAGATTGCAAGCCTGACTGGAAAGTCTCCACATGTGATTGTTAAGAAAACCTGAGGAAACTGAAAGTGTCACATGACCCCTATCTTATTCCCTATTCCTGGAATTGGTAGCGTTACAACTCTCCTTGTGTTTCAACTATACCCGGTCTCCCCTACCTAGAAAGAGTTGATTAACTGGTTCAGGTGTGTTGAAATGGGTTTGGAACCAAAATAAGCAAGACATCAGCCCTCCAGGACCAAGTTTGGACACCCCTGATATAGAGCAAACTTTTAAAAATGTAATCGTCCGTCTTCAACACGCATATATAAATAAAGACATATTGAAAAGTGAAGCTGTCATATTACATTTATTTACAAGAGTTCACAATCTGATGTCAAACCATCAGTTTACATAAGATAAAACAAAATACATTTACAAGATTAATGTTCCAATGTGAAAAGAGGTAGCTAACATGGTTTTCTAAAGGCACCTAGCTTGATTTCAAAGCTGACTTCAGATCTGTTGTTGGCAATCTGCTGCAAAGTCCAAATTAAAGTACATAAATCTCAAGTCAGTCAGTTCTTTGTTCCTCCAAAGGCACGACGTCTGATGTTTTAAAGTTCTTTCCAATCCTTCGAGAATTCCTCCTCTAATGTGTCCAGGACTCTGTGGTTTCCTCTGAGCGGCTTGTGTTTGCTACAGACTGTGGAGATGCTGCATTCGGGGAGATGTTTAGACTTGCCAAGACTTCATGTGCAGTTTTTCCAAGCATGCCCTGCACGTCACAGACAAAGCGGTAGACGTAGCGCTTTCCCGCCGTTTTGTGAATGATGTTTTTGTGGTAGTAGTAACGCAGGCCACGACTGAGCTTCTCATAGTTCATTTTAGGCTTGTTTTTACACTGGCCCCACCGCTTCGCCACCTGGAGGACACAAGAGAGAGAGAGAGAGATGAACAACAAGATATGAAGAGGAATGTGAAAATACCAGATGTGAAGATGAAGTGAAGAGTGTCGAGATGTTTTAAGACACACTGTAAAAAGATATATGATCATTAGTCCAGACAGCATTTCAGCATGTTTTAGGTCATTGTAACTTATTAAACTAAGTTAATCACATTATAACTTAATTTTATAAGTTATGCAAGATATTTTAAATCAGTTTAACACAATATAAGTTTAATGAACTCAAAGTTAATTTGATTCAGCTTAAAAATGTAAGGCAACCAGGATTTTTTACAGTGCAGACAGTACGTGGGTTGTTGACATGGCAGTGCATTTTTACTGTCACACATGACAAAAATGAATATAATAAGAGTTGTCATTTAAAATGCAGTACATAGCTAAACATTTCTTCATCTTCCATGGACCTCTTTTTAATAAAAGCTACTGTGTTAATACCTCTCGCTCTTATATAGAAAGAAAATGGTAAAATTATTAATAAATATTTTATTAATGATTTACTATTTAGTAAATGGCAATCATTTTGCTCATCCATATCTAAAAACATAATATTTTAGTACATTTGGTCACTGAAAACCATCTCTGGTGAACATTATACGCTCATTTTAAAACACACCATTCAAGATAATATGACTGACGCTCTCTGTAAAGTCCATGACATGCACATTTTAAGTTTTTGACTGAGGATTTATCACATATTTATGTTTCTGAAACCGCTATATCTATATCGTTTAAAATGGTTTTGTTTTCTTTTAATGTGATTACCATATTGATGGAAAAGGTCCAACAAGCCCAACAAATCATGAAGTAAAACACTATTAATAACTGTATATAAACTAAAAGCACCATATAAAGCCTATAAAAGCCTTATAAATACTATAAAAGTCCTCCTAAAAAGGCAGTCGGACAGTTGCAGCTCACCCAGAATGCTGGGGCCAGGATTCTGACCAGAACCAGAAAATCAGAGCACATCACACCTGTCCTCAGGTCTTTACACTGGCTCCTGGTTACATTCAGAATAGATTTTAAAGTATTATTACTTGTCTATAAATCACTAAATGGCCTAGGACCTCAATACATTACAGATATGCTCACTGAATACAAACCTAACAGATCACTCAGATCTTTAGGATCAATTAAATGAGAAATTCCAAGAGTTCAGTCAAAGTAGAGCAAATCTCCCTTCAGCTACTGTGCCCCCCGCTGCAGGAATCAGCTTCCAGAAATGATCAGATGTGCTCCAACATTATAGGCACATTTAAATGAAGACTGTAATCTGTTTAGCTGTGCCTTTACTGAATGAGCACTGTGCTACGTCTGACAGATCGCACTATTATGTCTTTTTCTTTTTCATTCTATTAAAACTGTTTTAACACATTTTTATCTGTTTTTAATCATTTTTAAATCTTTCAATCATTTTTTATTTTCTTGTTCTTTAATTCTTGTTTATGTAAAGCACTTTGTATCACATTGTGTATGAAATGTAACTTGCCTTGCCTATATGAAGATAAATGTCCAACAATGAAGATCAATTGCTCTCACACTATTTGTACAAGATTAAGAGTTGTTCTTCATTTTTGCTGTCACACTACAGGACTTTTTTTAGTACAGTTCAAAATAAATAAATAAAACGTGAAAGAAATTATACATTTTATATTTATGGTTATATTTTCTCAAAAAAAAAAAAAAAATCAAGACTTCAAACTAATTTTTACTATCTATTTGTCCACTACCCAAGTGTTGTTGAGTTTTAAATGCTTTAGGAATCTTACCTCAGCGGGATCTGACATTTTAAACTCCCAGCCATCACCAGTCCAACTTATAAAAGTGTGGCAAGCAGAATCCAGCAGGAGTTCTAGCAGAAACTGCCAGAGCTGGATGGGTCCAGATCCTGATGGACATCAAACAGCATTGAGACAAATAAATAAACAAACAAATAAATAAACAACTAAATAAATAAATTGATAAATAGCTAAATAAATAAATAATCTAATAGATTGATAGATGGATGGACGGATGGATGGATAGATAGATAGATAAACAGATAAATAAACAAATAAATAAACAACTAAATAAATAAATTGATAAATAGCTAAATAAATAAATAATCTAATAGATTGATAGATGGATGGACGGATGGATGGATAGATAGATAGATAAACAGATAATTAAATAAATAAATAAATAAATATATCTCACTCTCTGTTATAAAAGCGCTTCTGTAACAGACAGAGGCTCACCTGGGTAGGCGGACATTGGCGTGATCTCGCCCTCTCTGTCTGATCTTTGAGGAGGAGCGCTGCGTCTTTTGACCACGCGGGGGCAGAAGTGCTCAGCGGACTGACTGACCGGAGGGGATGAGGAGGATGCAGGCTGGCTAAGCGGCATGGAGCTGCAGTAACCGGGTGAGGGGTAGTCGGACCAATATGAAGACCTGCTTTGCTGCTCTGCTTCATACAAACCATATGTCCTGTCTGATTCACCTGCAACACCAAAAACACAAGTTAATATTTCAATGACTAGATTTAAGCGCATTAAAATAAATAAAATCAATTACATAATAATAATTAAATAATAAAAAATTAAATTAATAAATAAAATTTGAATCTATTGCATTATTGTATTAACTAAACACAAATTTAACAAAATATATTATCATACAGAATATTTAATAGGTAAAAAATCATAAAAAAACAAATCAAATAGTAATCTATAATACTGATAATATAATAAAGCGTGTATATACACACAAACACACTGATTCTATGTGTATGCATGGCATTTTTATTACTTTTAGTTATTTCAGTACATCAAATAAACTGAATAAATAATATATAAAAAATAGTTGAGTAAACAATTAAATTTGGTTTTAAAATTTGGCATTTATTTTAAGTTAGAAAAGGTTGTTTTAGCCAGAATATCTCTGGTGTGCATATAAATCCAGTAAATAAATTAAGTATCTGTCAAATTGCATACCCAAATGGTCAAGGCTGGCGGTCCCGGATGCTCCTCTGTGACTTGGGCCTTTCCCAGGTTGGTAATGGCTGCTGGTGTCCATTGTGGGACTGAATGTACTGCTTTGTGCTGGAGTGCAGAGAGGGACGAGGTTCTGGTAGGTTTGAGTTGATTCCTGAAAGCCAACCTGCTGTCTGTCTGCAACCATTCCTTCTGGAACTTAAGGGGGAGATAAAGGACATCATATAAGGCCAGGTCACTTTTATACACATTCACAGATATAGTCATGTGATACTTACTATTAGTGTATGCTGCCCAGTTGCTGAACTCAGGGAAAGAGTCCAGATTGAACAGCCCAGAGTCGACTGTGAGAACATGACCTATTGAGCAAACAGATATAATGCTTTCACTAATTGTTTGCATTATGATTATATGATAAATATGAATGTTGTGAGATGCTCACCTTTGTGCAACAGCTCCTTCTGAGGCTCGGAGTAGTTTTCGGCATACTGCTGTTGGACGGGTCCTTTGCTGTCTAATAAAAAGGACAGGTCTTCACCACTGCAGTCTGGAGGTACATTATCAAAGATGTGGAATGAATGAGAGTCAGGCCAAATGATGTATTAATGGATGCATAAAGCTTTCTACGCCTGGCCTGAAGTGTGTTAGGAGTAGAGGAAGCACTAGTAAAGGCTCTGTGACAGAGTGATGAAGAAGGGTGTAGGAGAGGGGGTGCTAAATCTGTTTGAGGAGGAAGTCTGGAGGAAAGGATTAGGAAGAGAGGGAGGGAGCAGAAAAACGGGTGTATCTTTAACCCGACCACCCCTCTTTTTTTTTCGACATCCCATTCCTAAATCTCAGTGCATGCATTGCCTGACATCCCCTTTTCCTGATGAGCTTTGAATTAGTGCACACAAACAAGATGTCAAGGTCTGATTTTTAGGGTTCTGACAGGGGTGTTGCAATTCTGCTGTTTGCAGCTCAAGGACAGCGGAAATGTTTTGCACTGACATTCAGGAAACCAGGCTGGAGAAATACTAAATCCCACAAAATCTGACTGATTTTTTCCCCTCATCAGGGCAAATTGAATGTGATCTTTGCAAATGAAGTGCTATAATTTATATATTAAGAACGAAGCAACTGAAGTTTTAAAATATGTTGAAATAAGATATTACCATATGAACTGAAGTCGAAACCAGCAGGAACCTCCTGAGTTCTGAAGTCTTCTGTGTAAAATCCAGATTGGTACATTTCCATATCTAAAAAGAAAACATTATATTATTAAACTAACATAGATACATCTTAATCCAAAAATAGTTCAAATCAAATCCAATTTATAGAAATATCAAAACAGAGATCTAAATACATCAACAAAAAGTCATTCTGATTACATTAATTTCAAACAGTCGAATAAATAGAAAAGTCTTACCTTAAAGTTTTCACTGAGTCCTTATTTCACTATATCAGGGGTTTTGACAGTGCCTCAGCTCTGCTTTTCAGCTCTGTTGACTGTCTGTGCTGGACTGAGGACCGTTATAAAGAGGCCGCGCGCGCTGGGGCGTGTCCGCGCGTCTTCTGAAGGAATGCGTCGTGACTGCGCTTCCCCTCCTTTTACTCCTCGTGACGTCAGACAGGAGTCACGACCACAGATTTGTTACCCTTTCATTCACAGAAAAGGTGAGGGGAGTAAAAAAACATCCCAGCACAGATTTGACAGACACGTTCTCTATTTTCTTTTCTTAACACAAGACGATGTGTACGTGTTAATTCGACCCCATATGTTTTCAGCAAATAATAGAGTCCTTTCAATTTTGACTAGTAAATCGTGATCATTTTCTCCTGACGATAGTTGAAAAATTCATCCTCGTGACAATAAAGTCTGAAAACAATATTAGACAATGTGTTCAAAACTGTTCTTTGAGACAAGAAACTACGAATGACCTGGGCTAAATAAAATTAACATGATCCGATAGGACAACAGGATGTAGCCTATATTTGTGCCAAAAATGTTATATCTAAACCCGTTTTTGTGATCAGAAATCATGAAAAGCCAGGTCAAAACTGACACAAACCAGACTGGGCAAATGACAGACTATGTATCTGTTTTTTTTTTTTTTTTACTTATTTGTCTCACAGACACAATAATAATAAAAAAAAACAATTTAAAAGACTGATGTGCATCAGGACAAACTCTAAACGTTTTGTTTACATTAATAAATATATAATTTATTTATTGTTACTATTGGCCAAAGTGTTTCAAACTCAACGTTTCTTATAGGTTTCTTATAGTTTCTAAACATTAATTATATCTCTATATGGCGTTTTATTAAGTTACTATAGTCACATAACAACGATATCAATAATAGGCCTAAAGAAATACCGCTATTGTTAGTATAATGATGATATGACTTGCTCAATTAATTTTTTGATATATTCGCATCGATGATTCTACACTGTAAACAAATCCTGGTCGCCCCAGTTTAAGCTGAATCAAATTAACCTCATGATTTTTTCAAATATTTAATTACCCCAATACTAGTGTTTCAAACTCAGAGTTTCTTATAGACAATTTTCAAGGATGTAAACAATACCAATGGTCCCAACCAATTTCCTGTTTTACATTTTTAATTTCTATAGCTTCAGAGAATCCAAAAAGGTCCACATATTGATAAATAATGTTGTGGCAGCTGTTTTAACATAACATATGTTAAATATGAATTGTCTCTTGTTAGTTATGAAATAGCTTGACACTCGTGGGTTGATGTTCATGGGTTTTAACAACGATATTAATTATAGGCCGTAAGAAATACGAACATTGTTAATATAATGATGGTATGACAAGCTCGATTAACTTAAATAAACTCGCATCGATGATTCCACATTGTAAAAATACTGGTTGCCTTAGTTTTTAAAGCTGAATCAACTAACCGTATGAGTCATTTCAACTTGCATTATATTATACTGACTTATTTTTATTAGTTACGCAAGTTGATTTCAGTTAGAAGATGGTTAACTTGTTGTTTAATAAGTTACAATTAGCTAAACACAAAAACCTGCAACCATTACTTTTCATTCCACAAATTTGGTTCTTTGTATTGTAAAAAATGTTATAAAGTCTAGAGATTATAAAAATGTTCTTCACATTCATCTTCACACTCACACAAATGTTCTTTGGTTTAAATGGGTTCATATGGCATCACTGAAAACACCATTTTGGTTTCTCCCTGGCAGTTTTTTTTAACAATGCACTCAATTTTTAGTTATATTATATTAATAGCAACGTTTTTTATGCTTGATGACTTGCTTGTTGTCAGGCTTTAAAATTAAATGTGTGAGATTATAAATAATAGGTTTGAACTGCCTGAAGTCCAAAGTAGCATATTGCCTAATAGTTTGCGCTAAAAATGAAAAGTGATGATAGGCTGAACCTAAGTTATCATTTAAGTAGCCTTAAATGATAATTTGACAGACCCATTTAAGTACATTCTAATGAAATAAAGAAATGAGAAAATGTGACTGGAAGTTAGAAACAAGATCAATCAGAACAAGTAACTTTAGCTTTAATTAGGCGTTCGTATCTTTAAAAGCCATTCAAGAGAACAATGGCCTGTAAAATTCCGAGTCGAGGAGGCCTGAAATCACGGCGTGAGTGCTTTGGACAGATAAGACCAACCCAAGGGCCTTGTATAAACAAACACCTCAGGCCATTTTCCTCAGGCGCGCAGAAAAAATACATCTGGAAAAGTAAGTTGCCAAACTGTGCGAGGCTTGAGTCGTGATTGAAGGAGTCTGCTTACTGAAGAGGATACAATCAGTGTCAAATTCCCATGGCACCTCCACACGCGCACGCCCATGTCTACAGATTTAACGCGTCTGAAAGATGTTATATACAGAAATACTTATATTTAAAAATACGTTTATGCATTTTAGCATCCATTTGAGCTTTTTAAAATAGGCCTAGTTTATGTTTAAATTAAGGATCTCAGTATTTTAGTGATCAGCTTTTCTTTCACAATTGTTTTCTTGTGATCTGCCAGCAAGCTTTTCTGGTTCTAAAAAGATGTCTAGTAGACGTTTAAACATATTTGTCTAGGCTAAAACAAGACTAAACTGGGGCTGTCAGCGAAAACCTAATAAACGTCTAAGAATAGGCCAAAACTAGACTATCAAATAGCCTAAACAGAAATTAATGACTACCCTACACATATAAAGTCTGTCCAATCATCTATTTAACGACTAGTCTCGTTTTGAGCTATTCTTAGACGTTTTTCACTAACTGAAAGTTTAGCTTTGTTTTAGCCAAGCTGTTTAGATTAGACGTATATTAAACACATTTTTTTGTTGCTGGGCCATGTCTATAAATTTAAATGTAAATAAAATAATTTCACACTTTACAATTTTCATTAGTTAATGTAACGTACCTACACTGAAAAAAAATATTCAGAGATGATTCCTTAGATTTACTCAATTTTTTTACATTAACTGGTTGTAAACTATTTATTTGTGTTGAATTTAAACAAACAAATTAAGTTTAAGATTATTAAACTTAATTTACTTGTTTAAATTCAACACAAAAAAAATTGTTTGCAGCAGTTTTGCATGCAACACTTTTTTCAGTGTAATGATCAATACTTTTACAGCATTTATTAATAACCACGACTATTAAAATACAAATTAAATACATTAATGAGTGAACATGGACTATCAATGAACATCATTAACAAACAATGAATAAATACTGCAATAAATCTATTGATTATTGTTTGCTCACGTCAGTACATAAACTAACACGTTCGCGTCAGTACATAGCCTATTTAAACTAACATGAACTAATACAACTTTATTGTAAAGTGCTACCAACACTGTAAAAAATCATGGTTGCCTTATTTTAAAGCTGAATCAAATTAACTTAAGTCCACTGAACTTATATTATGTTAAACTGACTTAAAACAGGTTGCATAGCTCATAAAATTAAGTTAGAACATGATTAACAGTTTAATTAGTTGCAATAAAAAAACATATGCTATCGGGACTAACTGTTCATATCGTTTTTACAGAGTAGATCCGCTTCAACTGAGAATTTTGGAGGTTTAATGCAGCTGTCGATTTATTATACTGATGTGGTGTTTCATATCATTGGTTTGCGGTTTAAGAATGTTAAGACACCATTTCCTGTATAGTTTTTAAACATTGCACGTTATAACATTTATTCACAAACGAATAAATAACAAATATTTCCCGCATTAGCTTCTTAAATGTCTTGTTATGCGCTTACCTGGTCAGTAAGCCTTGAAAACACTATTATAAAAAGCAATGGCATACACAGCATGTAACACAAATATTTATAAACACAATAAGCTTTAAAACCGCATATCCAAGTTCGCAATATGTTCACTGGCAGGTGATAAAGTTATTCAATAGTGTTCGGGTTGGACAAAAGGAAACGTTGTTTCTGTAAAATCTAATTTCAGTCAGAGGGTATTAAACACATAGTCTGACGAGTTAGTGCAATAAGAGTTCACCAATAAGGAACAGAGCTAGATGCTTTTGTGTGACTTCACTTCCCAATTTTAGAAAGGAGAGCTCAGAAAGAAAAAAACTGTTGCCATCCGGTTATGGTCTAAGCGAAAATAGTATGGTTTGCGCCGATGACTAAATGCGCCTGTGCACACAAGTCGATGCGTTTCAGCCGGGTTATCAAAGTACCTGGGTTTACATAGCTCAAGTTTAACCAAGTACTTTCTTCATGAACTCCACAGAAATCTGCAATGGACTGTACTATTAAGGTAGGCGTTTGATCTGGTTTATTGTCTGTTCTGAAAATGAGTAGCGAGTGCGCAACCACCCACACGGTTAGCGACTACTGGTGAGAGAGGCAAGGCGGTGATGCAGGTCCCCACTCTTTCCTTCTTGTACAAAATTTCCTCTTCCTTCCCGTTCGTGGTTGAATGTCGGCTCTTTAATAACACAAGAAACCGCTACAACATTTAGAGTCAGATAAAAAACGAAATGGTGTCCAGAGCGCGCGCGAGAGGGTATGCACTAATTTGTTATTTATTTTTTTGTATTATTTTGTAACAGTTACTACAAGTGTGCATATTTAGTGATCTTTTCGAGGCGTTTAGGTACATGTAGTTTACTTATTTTTTTTAAATTACAAATCACAAGAAAGACGAAAGCGCAAGCAAATGCAAACTGGAAAACAAAATACCGAATTTCACATATGGCACAATTATGGCGGGGCGCTCTCGAGGCAGGTGGCTTTATGGCGCCAACAAGAAGGTATACTTAGGAGACTTTAAAAATAATCACAGATACAATTGCGTCTGATTTACCTAAAAATGAGCGTTTTGAAACTTCTTAAAATGGACTTGTGGAACAGATGTATTAGATGTATTAAATGTGGTGAATTTGCAATGGCTGACATTATTTAATTTAATCTGGATTGGAACAAAGCATGGAGGAAAATGGTGCCAAGCAACAACTTATTTTTTGGTTTAAGCGTTTTATTCGTTAGTAACTTATTTGTTGTGAAGATTTACACAATTTATTTTGGTGAATGCTGTTTGTTATTCCTAATTCCTTGATAAACAAACAAATAGGTAAATGTCGCAAAACTGTGTTAAAATTCTAGTCTTTATTTGCTGCCATGTTGAAGTTGAAAATATGTCAGTGATTATGCTGTTTTATGTGCATAATATGTTGACTTCTGATTATAATTTTTAATTATTTAAATCGTCTTTGCTTTATTAAAAAAGCGACTAAATTTAGTTGTAAATTGACAAAGGCAGATTTCTGAAACAACTGATGAAAATATCTCTCTTTAATATGTACGAAATAAATCTAAAATATTCAAATTTAACACCTCTGTTTGTTTATGCGTACTTTGTAAAACATCCTGGTTGCCTTACATTTTTTAAGCTGAATCAAATTAGTCCATTGAACTTGTATTATGTTAAACTGACTTAAAACAGCTTGTATAAACTACAAATTTAAGTTAAACATGATCAATTTAGTTTAATAAGTTACAATGACCTAAAATATATGCTGTCAGGACTAATTGATCATATATTTTTTACAGTGTAATGATAAAACAAATCGCGTTCAAGTTATTAGTTTTGTACGCCACAACTGTTTATTCAACATGTCTGCTTTGCGCAATCTCTTTACATCCTCTTTGCAAAGCAGAGCAAATGGCTATTGCAAGCATTCCTGTGTAGCGTGTTTGCAGCTCTTCCATGCCTGATTTAGTTCTTTAAGGAATAAATTATAGCAAAGTGCTGGGCGCTTGTCAGGTGTCGTTATCAGAGCTCAGCAGGCTTCCTGTCTCAAACCTCAGACTTTCCGCACACACTTCCGCACTCTGCGCTCGAAAGAAGGCAACAAAGACTGACAAAACAAAATTGATTCGATAGATGTGCCATGCCAATACATTGTTCTAGATTTCAATTAAATTATCTGGACAAACTCGAGCAGAAACCGAACGTGCTGCGCGTCCATGCGCGGTTAAACAGGTTGTCCTAAAAAAACCTAATAATATGAAGCGCCCCCATCTCCACTTGCCAGATATGTTGCTGATTAAAACTTGTGAAACCGCAAAAGTGTTTTTGCAGCTCAGAGTGCAGCTGCACGTCTTTGCAAAATCAGCATGCCTTAACGTCAACTTCTGCTTTCTTTCGCTCTCACAAACCCAACATGACTAACACAACTGAAAGTTTGGCGCTCGATTATTCAGAAACGAATTTTAGCTAAGTATTGTGCATTATTCATTCATTAAACCATCTATTAAAATGAAATCTTATAACCACATAAATATAACTAATATATAGCCCATGCATGTGTTTATATATTTATTATTTTGGGTTATCACTGTTGCTGTTATCTAGCTTTACGAGCATATTTTTGGTAACACTTTACATTAAGGTTGCTAATTTATAATGAGCAAAACGACCAATGCAATCATTGCGTTATTAATTTATCTTTGTCGATGTTAGTTAATAAAAAGAAGTTTCATTAGTTAACTATAATTTTAAATAGACTAATGCATAATGTTAACACGTGTGAATGAATGTATTTTAATAATGCATAAGTAATTGTTCAACTATGATTAATAAATGCTGTAAAATTACTTCGTTTAATATTAATTCATGTAAGTAAAACATTACATATATTAAGCTAGTAGTGTTAAAGGTTTAATACACACAACAATGTGAGCCATTTTATTTAATTTTAGTAACACTTATTCACAGTATTAAACCATTAACACTAGATTAGTAAACTACTAATTAACTGTTTATTAATAGTTAGTAAGGTAGACGTTGGGTTTAGGTTTTTGGTAGAGTTAGAGATGCAGAATTAGATCATGCTTTATAACTAATGAAGAGTTAATATCCTAATAATTGACAGGTAATAAGCCAGTAGTTCGAGTGTGACCTAAATTAATACCTTTATTTTTACAAAACCTACGCGAGTATAAGCAAACAAATAAAAAGAACTATACCCCCAGTCGTGACAGTGCCTGTGGTTAAAAAGGATCTCAGCTGCATTTGGTTTCGTAGAATGCAGTGACTGCAGAGTATTCAGACACTGTAGTGCACAGAAATAAAATACAAATGAAAACTAAACAAACTTTACAAAGGTCGACCGGCGTTGATTTTTATATGTTTTGAGCAGCGAAACAAGCTGTATAGTACCTGCAAAGTATGTAATGGTAAAACAAACAATAATTGCTTTAAATAGACACCGGAAAACCAATGAAAATATTTCTATTTCGTTCACGACTGAAATTGTGTCTCTGTTTGCACACTTTAAAGAAAACAGAAGCAACAAATTCATAAAACGGTTATAAAAAGTCTAGCAAATAAAATGTTGATTTTTTTAATGTAAAAGAGGTCTTATGAATATTATTTTTATTATTGTTGTAAGTACTTGATTTTATAAAATAAATAAATAAGTAAATAAATAAAAACTCAGACCCAAGCCCTGTTTTTCATTAACTCATTTTGCTTATTTACAAGTTTATTGTATATTTACATGTTAGATGCTGTAAAAGGCAAAATACATTTTAACACAAATCCAAAACCATACAAAAAATGCTCAGGGGTAGCTTAATTAATGGTGCCCAATTCTGTAAGAGATTCATCAGAATAAATATACAGCAAAAGTAAATCCAAGGCACTTGAAAAATGTGGAATTATTTTTAAAAAACCTTCATTGACATGACTTTTCCTTAAAACACCTCTGGTTTTATGTCAATAAAGGCTTTTTGACAATTTTTTTCCACATTTTTGAGTGCCTTGGACTTTTGTTAGAAGTTAGACAAATATAACACTAATTTTACAAGTATTTCTGACATTTAATGGTATAATCCATACATATCTGGATCCAAAATAGATAACAAAATGTTTAAAATGACGTCTTAAAAAATAATCATGTGCACTGAGCCCAAAAGGTGTATTAAATACTGTTAAAAGGCAAACAATATTTTAATACAAACCCAAAATAAATGAATAAATGCTCAGGGGTAGCTTACCTAATTGTGGTCTTTGGGTAAGGCATCCATCAGAATAAACAGCAAAATTAAGTCCAAGGCACTAAAAAAATGTGGAAAAAATATTATAAAGCCTTTATTGACATGGCTATTCTCTAAAAACAGAGGTGTTTTAAAGAATAGCCATGTCAATAAAAGCACATTTTTTTACACATTTTTCAAGTGCCTTGGACTTACTTTTGCTGTATATTTTAATACAAGTTGGACAACTACATATAACACTTTATAATTTTACAAGTATTTCTGACATCTAATGGTATAATCCATACATTTATGAATCCGAAATAGATAAAAAGTTTCAAACAAGGTGTATATATGGCTTAAAAATTAAAATAATCATGTGCATTTTAATAGACTGTCATTAGACATACATATTCATAAATAACAACAACTCTGAACTAGTGCATTCGCAATAGTTACATTGCAACATCTGCAATGTGGAGCTGGGATATGCGATATGCATAAGGTGGCGCTTCTTATAATAACGGATCAAACATGTTGCAAGTTGAAATTTATTTGCAGTTAAAACAATAAATACATCTTATAAGTTTTTTAAAATGCATTTTCCCCCCTTCATTTACAAATATCATGATATATTGTGGATGGTTTTCTTATAATATATCGCTGATATCGTAATTATCGGGGGGAAAATATCATGATAATATCATATCTTATTCCCTGAATATCTGACTACTTATTTCACTTTTATCTTTGCTCCATCTTATTTATTCTTGCAATTTCTTTGATTCACTCCTCAACAAGATTATTCCAATCAAAGTTAATGATTTTACTCCAAATAGACCTATTCAAGTCATCTGTCGAAGTAGTATTCATATGCAAAAGTAAATCGCAGCAAAACAAAATATCGCAATGTCAGATTTTTCCAATGTCATGCAGCTCTAGTCATACCTCCTTAAAATAAAAATAATCATGTGCATAATTTAATAGATTTTCAATAGGCATACATATTTATAATTACACAATACTGAACCCCAAGAAGTGTGCTTAATGTGCTGAAAAAGTTAAATGTATGTGATAAAAGTTGGACAAAATTAAAACTATTTTTTATTTATTTTATTTTTTATTATTATTTTTAAGTATTTCTGACTTTTAATTACAGCCTGTACACATCTGGATCTAAAATTACTGATAAAAATGAACCTGAATGCATTCATTTAGAACAAATCATAATCATTTTGAGAATTATAAAACAAGACTACACTGCATAAAGTGCGTATTTAAGAGTATATGGGGTCAAACAGATAACCTGGGACTTTTTTTTTTGCATGTCTGACTTCCGCAATTCACTGTGATTTTCACCCTACTACGTCAGCCCAACAGCACCACACACTAACCAACAAGAATAATGCTAAAGGTCTTGCACGTAATGGTTAAAATATATGTTCACATCAGCGAAGAATCTAATATCACAATACCCCATTATGATCATAAGCAAAGTGGCATTTTCATAAGCAGCTTTCATTACCAAAGACTGAAGTGTGCATCAGCAGCATCCCATTCAAAATGACACTAAAAGCCACGTTTACAAGTAGTAATCTAGTAAATCTCTTAGCAATGATCTCCACCCATTTGAGGGTGATTCTCTGTATGATTAGTTCGTGCAAAACCTCCATAACCTAAAAGCATGTATTAAAGCAAGTCTCAGTAGAAGTGTAGCTCCGCCACAAACTCTGTTGTGACAAAACGAGAATTTCTTTCACAAGACCAAATC